TCCGCTGGGAGTCTGAAGCCGGAACGATCCGGTTCAGCCCTCGGCTTCCTGAGTGGAAGACGGCGTCGATAAAGCGGCTGGGATTCGGGGTGCTGAACAAGGTGGTGCTGGAGTTTCCGTGGGCATTCTGGGACGAGGGTGTGGACTACTTCGGGGCGGCGGCGGAGTGCAGCTCGGGGCGCGGGAGGTGCTTCATGTTCTGGAACCTGAAGAGGACGAGCGGGTATCCGATCCTGGTGGCACTGGTGGTGGGGAAGGCGGCGAAGGAGGGAGAGGGGGTGGAGAGCGGGGAGCTGGTGGAGCACGCGGTGGGGGTTTTGAGGAAGCTGTTCGGAGAGGAGGCGGTGGGGGAGCCGGTGGCGTCGGCAGTGACGAAGTGGGGAGAGGATCGTTTCAGTCGGGGGGCGTACTCGTACGTGGCGTTGGGGGCATCGGGGGAGGACTACGACATTTTGGCGCGGCCGGTGGAGAAGTGCGTGTTCTTCGCGGGGGAAGCAACGTGCAAGGAGCACCCGGACACGGTGGGGGGTGCGATGATGAGCGGGTTGAGGGAGGCGATAAGGATGATGGACATAATGGAGAACCGCGGCGACAGCATGGCGGAGGCGGAAGCGCTGGCGGCTGCTCAGCGGCAATCGGACAGCGAGAGGAACGAGGTGGGTGTTGTGGTGGTGTGGATGTTTGTGGGGACAGGAGGGGATTTTAGATGGGATGGGAGCGGGGGGAGGGTAGGGGAGGAGGATTGGAAAGGTGGATGTCTGATTGGTGGTTGGGAATGGGCAGGTGAGGGATATGATGAAGCGGTTGACGGCAGCAGAGCTGTCGAACGTGCTGAGGGCGGAGACGGGGGCGGCGAACGGAGAGAGAGGACCTCTAAGTCGTGCGGAGCTGTTGAAGGACATGTTCGGGCATGCGAAGACAACAGCAGGGCGGCTGTTTCTGATCAAGGAGATGTTGCAACTGCCGGTGGCTCCTCTGAAGGGTTTCGCCGGGACGAAAGCTGGGCTGGAGATTTTGAATACGTGGATCATGGTACGTTTGCAGGAGTGGGCAGGATGGGAATGGGACATGTCGCTGTTGTTGCGCGTGGGGTGCGGGGTGGTGATGTGGAGTGATGGGCGGTGGAATGTGTGCGGGTGGTGGAATCAGGGTTGGTACGGTGAAGAGTGTAGCGATCGGAGATGTTGTGCAGCAGGGGCAGGCGGGTGCTTGCGCGCAGGCGAAGACGGGAAGAGGTGTAATGGGTGGAGTTAGGGGAGTTAGTGTGGTGATCGGAGGGGACTGGTGGCGTGTGTGATCGGGTGGTATGTTGAGTGGGAGGTGTTGAGAGGGCGTGTTTGGTTACGGTTGTGTTGGATCGGTGACGGGGCGTTTGTGTGCGTGCAGGACTCGATGGGCAAAGATGGGACTCAGCTTCTGCGGCACTGCGTTCGACTGCTGCTTGTGGTGGCGACGGACCTAGTTTCGATTCGGCAGTCGGGTACTGTGACGACCTTTGATGGTGTGATGTTCGTTGAAGCGGTTGGGTGGAGTGCAGGAGAGCAGTTTAGGATGTTGGAGAGAGGTGGGCGTAGGAGGTTGGAGGGTGAGGCGGGTGTGTGGCGTTGTTGTAGATGGTGGGTGACGATGGGGTTGTGACGACGTGCGTGGTGCAGGTGTGGGGAAAACCGTGAAGGAGAAAGTGTGGATGCACACAAGCCGCGACATTCGAGCCGTGGCGAGTCAACTTGTGAAACTGTGGGTGGAGGTATTCAGACGGGAGAAAGCACAGGGGACGATAAAGTCGATCAGGAAGTCGGCCGGAAGTTCACCGAATGCGGGCGCAGGACATGCGTCGGCGAAAGCAAAGGATGTTCAGAGGTGCGCGGCGAGCGGTGGAAAGCTGAACGTTGCAGGCAGCGGCGGTTCGAAGTTCAGGGCTTCGAACCAGTCGGCTTCACCAAGCGGGGAGTCTCCGTCGGGTGGACAGAGCAAGGTATGCACGTGGAGTGGGAAGAGTGAGGTGTGGAGTGAGGAGATTTGGGGGTTGGGAGGACGAAGATGTTGTTGGAGTGTTTGAAGTGAGTGAGTGACAGGATGAAGCGAGGGTGAGGAACGATGTTGTGATTGGTGACGTGGCGTTTAGGGGAGGTGTTTGGAAGGGTGGTGTGATGCAGGGATGTAGTTTGGTGATAGGTCATGATTGGAGTTGCAGTGCTGAGTGTGATTTGATTTGGTTGTGTGTTTTTGATACCGAAAGCTGGCGGTGGGAGAGTGGTGGGGGTTTGGAATGGGGTCTGATGCTGTGATGTTGTAGGCATCGAATGTGGAGGAGCCGAGAAGCGACGAGGGCGGTGCGGTGGGTGGTCAAAACGCTGAAGGGGTGTGGAGAGGTGCGGAGTCGAGAAATGCAGAGAGGCCGCTGTCTGAGTTGGAGGTGAAGGCGATTGTGGCGGCGGAGGAGGCACGGGCTGCAGCGGCTGCAGCTGCAGAGGTAGGTCTGAGGGTGATGCATGAAGTTGATTGTGGGTGAGGTGTTTGCAGTCGGAATGGAGAAGAGGGAAGGTGCGATGGTGGTGGTGGTGTGGGTTGTGTGCGTGGAATTGTAGGGGTAGTTGTGATGTAGGTAGATAGTGGAAAGCCAGGTGACAGGCAGGTCGGGAACGTTGAGGGCTTGTGTGAGATGGCATGCAGTAATTAGGTTGGGGTTGTGACGTTTGCAGGCGTACGCACAAGTGGAGGCTCAGCGAAAGGCTCTTCCGGAGCTGCCAAAGATCTTGTCGTTTCATAGGTTTGCAAAGCGCGAGAAGGAGGATAGTATGGACTGGAAGACGAGAAGCTGGCTGGGGATGGGTGAGAATCCTGCAGGCTCCAGCGCAGGCGCAGGTCCAGCAGGTATGGACGGAATGGTGGATGTGAGTTTTGTGGAGGGATGGCAGGGATAGGTGGAGGTGAAGACGAGGGAGGCGGAGTGTGATGGTGACATGAAAGTTGAGGCGGGGTGTGGGGTGTGGGGTGTGGGCGTGAGTTTTGAGGGCGGATGTTTTAGTTGACGCAGTCGGCGTAAGGCGTGCAGGTTGAGGTGGATAGGAGTTTGGATCGTTGAGGTTGCGGGTGGTGTTGCTTGGTGTAGATGTTTTGCAAGGAGTTAGTGGGAAGCATGGTAGTAGGTTGTGTGGTGGGGGTTGCAGGAGCGGATGTGTCGGTAATGATGGAGGATTGTTGTCGTTCAGGTTTGGAGCAGAGAGTGGCACAAGAGAACAGCTGTGTGTGGTCTGAGCAGGGGAATGGGGGTGATGGTACGGGCGGAGTGCATCAAAGTACACCAAGCGAGCAGGGCGATGGGTCGGTTTCGGGTGTGCCGGCGTCAATGGTGGCTAGTAGCGACACGAATGGGCACGCGGAGACTCAGGCGGATGGAACGGGAAGGAGCGGAGATGTTGGGAAAGCGGCGGAAGATGTTGTGTTGAGTAGCAGTTGTGCGAGAATGGAATCGTTAGGCACAGGAGAGGAGGAGGGTGGTTGTGGAACGGAGGCTGCGGCAGGTAGGGTGGAGGGCGCAAGCACAGCGTGTCCAGATGTGGGTGGTGCGGAGGCAAGTGCGGCCCCTGCAGAGAAGCGGGGAGGGGCGGACGCAATCAAGAAGGCGGTGTCAGACTACGTGGTTCAGCTGTTGACCCCTCTGTATAAGACGAGGAGGATACAGAAGGAAGACTTCAAGGCCATAGTGAAGAAGTCGACTGCGAAGGTGAGAAGGTGGTGGGTAGTGTGGGGGGAAGGCAACGAAGGTGTGATGGGAAGTGTACGGAGAGGGAGTGGATATGGGAGGAGCGAACGAGTGTGTGAAGTTGTATTGGTGAAGTTGTATTGTGCAGTATTGGTGGAGTTAGTGATGGGATAGGAATGAGTGTGAACGAGGAGTTGAGCGTGACTGAGCGGTGGGTGGTGTGCAGGTGATGGACCGGAACACTGCAAGGGACAACAGCATGGACGTCTCTGAGTTTTTGAACATGAAGCGGAAAGTGAAGGTGTGGTGTTTAATGACTTTGCCGTTGTTTGAGTGTAGTGGTTATATGGATAATTCTCAATGTTCGTCTGTGTTTTCATGGAGGTGTCAGGAGGCAGAATGGATGCACTGGTTAGTTGATGTCGCTTTTGTTGCATTGTGTCATGTCTTTTTGACTTTGGATCTGCCCGTCTTTAGGTTTTGGTGTTCGTTATGTGTGCTCTTACAGGAATGCTTGCTGTTTTGTTGCAGCTGATGTTTTAATTGGTTTTTGGACTTTCTTAGCGGTTTATATCGTTAAGAAAAAGACGATTATGAGTTGTTTTGTTTTGTTAGATTTGGAAACTGATGATGGTTTTGGATTGTTGGATTCCAGATTCGGTCTATGGTAGACGTGTTTATAGAGCGACATCTGAAAGTGGTCTCAAATTGAAGTGTTCGGAGGATTCTCGCGATGCGTTGCATTGACAGGATAGATTAGATTTATTCAGGTTTATTTTTCTTTACGTATTTCGGAGAATACTATTGTATAATGATATCATTCTTTAATCTTAGAAATTGTGATAATTATAGTCCCCAGTGTCACTACTTTCTAAATAATGTGCTTTGAAGGTTCTATCTAACTAACAAAATAATTAAATAACATTATTATGTATTCGTATTATTATATAGAACCCAAACTATTTCTAAACAAATTTATTTGTTGTACTATGTTACTGTTATAGAATGTTGACATCCACCAACATCCAATTGTCTTTTTTGGTTTGATCTTAGTTTTAACTAGTAGCTCTTATCAAATCTCTTTTTTTGTTTTAACACCTTATTGCTTTTAGCATGTTAAGTAAATTTTTTTGGGTCTTTCAGCAATCTTTCTAATTGCTGAATTTTAATTTCTAACATATTTATTTATTAATGCTTATTTTTATCTAGGCTATATAATCTAGTAAGAAGTACTTTTTATGCATGTTTTATTATCATTTGTTTTAATATCTACTTTATTGGTATATAATTCTTAATTATATTATGGATTTGTTTTTTTTGTTAGTGTTATAAAAATTGATCATTAACTTTGCTAATATAGATGTGCTGAAAGAAGAGGAGAGGCATTACTTTGTGGGACTTGTATGTTGGACAAGTCCTACTTTGGAGTATAAACAATGTAGAATCACTCAACACTCTTCTTTTGAAAGTGAGACTTAGTTCTTTACTAAAACAAGACCTAAAATATCTTTGAAAGATAGAAATTTATTTTAGAAAGAAGTTTCATGAAGACATCTGCTGCTATTTGTTTAGTGGGACAATATTCTAATCCAATTTGTCCTTTCTCTACACATTGCCTAGTAAAATGGTATTTTGTATTCCAATGCTTTGTATGACCATAGTGTGCTAGATTTTTGGCAATAGCAATGGCATTTTAGTTATTCTCATAAATGAGGTTTTTCTCCAACTTGGGAGTTTCATTATCTCTAAGTTGTTTACAAAGCCACAAAATCTCCCTAGCTATAGTGGTCAAAAGTGCATACTCTTTAGGTAGATACAAGTGATAATTATAATACCTACCAAATGGTACATCTCTACATAACCTACTTCATTTGCATTACTTTAGCCTACAAATTGCAAATTTGCTTCTTTACTTCCATATTGCAACACTAAATCTTTTATTCTTTATATTATTAACATATTTGCTTGATTCCTTACTAATACAAAATATATGGATATGACATGTATTGAGCAAAGTATTGACAAGTAAATGTAATGAATATTGTAATATTTCCAAGGTACAGTAATGAACCTAAAACTTTGTGATAAAGCTTTAGACCTATTACATTCAAAAGATTATCATTCTCATACTTAGTGAGATAACCTTATATTATTGGTGTGGCAATTGCCTTTGTGTATTTCATTTCAAATTCTTCCAACTATCAATAAATGTATTTAATTTGGCTTAAATTAATAGTACCATTCTTCTTATCTTATAAGAAATCAATATGAAGGAAATGATAAGGTTCACCAAGATCTTTTATTTTATAGTATTCTTACAATTCATCCTTACATTTTATAAGGATTTTATAGTTCTTGCTATAAATCAATACATCATTGACATAAATAATTAGTCCAAAGACTAATCCTTCAATGTACATCATGTATAAATAGAGATATAATTAAGAGCATTGTCAGGGTAGAAAGAGTTTGCCTCAAGAAAGCACTAGGCTTTTGGCTGCCACTAAATGCTCAATCAAGTCTAAGATATAAAAGTACCAAGTTTATATATATATATATACAGTAATTACATCAATACATAAGTCCAAGTACCAAAAAAACACCCAAATGTATGATAAAGTATCTTAAAACCTTATATATCCTTATGAGAAATGTTTCTCAAACTTCAACAACTCATATCTCACGATCTGATTGTCTAAAAAACCTTAAAGTTTACACGAAGTATTGATATACATTCAAAAGCTACGACAAAAAAATTTAACTGCAAATTCGTTACGGATCTTGAGATATCACCAAAACCCTAATAGTAGCTTTAAACCCTAGCTTACATACACCCGCATTCTATTTTCTTCATATCTCACAAAATAAGTACTTAAATACCATAAAAATTTGATCTATAGCTTTTTAACCTAATAAATCACACTTACAAAAATTTTGAGCCAAAAATTCGTCCAGAAACTCAAGATATAGCTCCAACCATTACTATTAACAAAATGACTCACTTATTGTCTTTGAATTACAAGTGCTGTCTTCAATGCTCTATAACTCCTTCATCTAGACTTGAAATTTGTCAAACAATATTTATAAAATGTAGTCAAGAAAGTGTTGTCTCCAACTCTAGTCGCCGAACTTTCATTGCTCTCCGTACGCATATGTTATGCTTCAAAAAGTGACAATAGGTATAAATTTGACACCTTAACTTTGAACATCTATATCTCCTTCTCAAAAACTCCAAATCACACAAACACTTCACTCAAATTATACCCAAAACCGTGAATTTGTTGATCCTAGCCTCCAAAGCTTGAATGACTTTGAAAGAGAAATCCTAAATCCTAATAAGGCCTCAGGCAGCCTCCTTGACGCCCATTGGGCATGGCCTTCGACCAATAGGAATGAAGTTTCCCATTCCTTGTCTTCATCCAACCATGCTTTGCTTTCATCCCTCCCAATAAGCCTCCTATTAGTTAAGATTTTCTTCTTTAGGCTCTAATCTCCTCTCAAAGCTTTATACTGAACATTTAGGTCTTACAATTTTTTTGAATGCTATAATAAAAAAAGATAAAACTCAAAATAAAGTTTTTTAAATCCACTCTCTTTAAATTAATCCATTAATCATTCTAATACACAACAAGAATTATAAACATATTATATGTTTTAACAAATTTTTACATATTATAAGCATTTATAGTACGACAGCGCTTCTAACCAAGATTCAAGAAAGATCCATATAAACTCTTGTTGCATCCGTATCTAGGTTGCTTCAAATTATACACAAACTTAAGCAATTACAATACCTTTTTTATATTCAAATAGAATTTTAAATCTTTTTAGAAACTTTATTTAGGTATCTTCTTTTTTAAGTTTACCATCTAAATAAGTTAAAATAATATCAAGTTGGAACATAATCCAATCTAGGGTAGCAACAATTGCAACAAATATGTAAATTTTTATATGAAAAAATTTTGATATAAAAGTCTCTTGGTAATTAAGACCCTTCACTTGATTAAAATCTTTTGTAAAAAATCATACTTTAAAATGCTCATTAGAATCATTGCTAACAAGTTTCTTCTTAAAAATTTATTTTAAATTTAAAATCTTTACACCATTTGATAAAAATAAAAATTTCCATGTATCATAATTTTTCAAAGAACCAAGTTCTTTTTTAATGACATAACTCTACTCCTTAAAAAAAATGTGCTTATGGCTTGTTTAATAATTTTTGATTTTTCATGTTCATTATTATAAAGAATATCCATTATTTTAATCAATATGTTATAATTTCGTCAAATAAAATTATCATTATTTTTTCAAGGCATGCAATGCATTCTAATACTACTTATGATATTTTTTTGGATCAATCCTACTTATGTAATTATATCTTGGTAGTAGATCATGAGTGGTTGCTTCTAATTCTAATAGATGAAATTCCATTACTTCTATTAGTATAAAATTTGCTTCCTTATCAACCATTTTTCTACTAAATCCATCATATATATGTAATCTCAAGGCCCGAGGTTTTGATATTTTTGATTCACTTAGATGTTGAATATCAATCAAATCAAATTTATTTCTATGATCTTTATCTTTTCAACTTTTTTGTTAACAAATCATTAGTCCACTAAGTAATTCATTCTTATAACCAAGAAAAATCACATCTCAACTAAAAAACATCTTCTTTTCTATAGGTAGGAGAATCTCATATCTTTTTGCCATATCTTATATCTAACAAAATTTTCCTTCTTTACTTTTGCATCAAGCTTTTGAAGCCATTCCTTTGCTATGTGATATCAAGCAAGATAACCAAAATAATGAACTGTAATCGTCGTTTGACTCAGAATCAAAACACCAAGATATTTGATCAGTATAGGTGGGTTCGATCTCGGGGAAAGACTCGTTGTATGAATTGGATATGTTATGTCACAATTGATTATGTATTAATTATCTAAAACTTCCAAAGTTTTCTTCCTCATCTCAATTCAATCCCTTCACAATCTCTACAATTGTTCACTGCCCTGCAGCTACTAAATATCACTGACATTCTTGACATCTACAGGATGCTTAATCTCTTTCCACAGTACTTCAATTCTCAATTCCTTTACTTTTACTCAATCTTCCAGTGCTACTAACACAATGCAATAATCTCTATTATCACAATCACACTTTCTTTCTCCAAATTAATTAATTCGAATTCATAATTTTCAATATCTCAATCACAGTTTCAGCAATCCTTTTCTTAAATCCAATACTAAAGAAAAACACAAAAGTAAAGAAAACAAAAGGGTAGCTCCAAGCTTTACCCTGGCTCACGACTATCACAGTCTGGCCCCCATTCTTTCTTCCTCAACCTCTTTATTCTACCAAAATATGAATCGTCATTTAGCAGATTCCACAGGTTATGAAACTTTGGCTTCTTAACGGCATATGTTCTTAACTTCCTACTATTAACAACTAATCAAACTAACCATTCATCTAAATCCCAACATTACTACTATTTAACCGATAACGAACCAGAAAAGTCATTTATACATTCTACATAGCCCCACTCCTTACTGTGCAGCGTCCTCGCAAACCACCTCGTACTACATTTTACAATATCACCACATCATTGGCTTCCTCCAATGTCTGGACCTCTGGTCCGCCTTGGTCCGTTTCATCATTTCCATAAGTGAGATTGGTTTCGACTTCTTGAGCTTCTTCTCCAACTCCCTCTCCCACCTGCTCTCCGTTCAATAAAGCTGTCAAGTCCTCGTTAAGTGCTCCCAATTCCCGAACCTGAGACTCCAAAAGCACAATTTGGGTGTCTCGCTCTTTTAGCTGCTCCTCCTCTTACGCTCAATCACCATCTTCGCTACTCACGATAATCCTCTAAAACCTGTGTTTAGCAACGTGAATCAAGAAATTGCAATGTAAACAATGCCAACCAAGAGCCCCACTCCTAACTTC